CCTAGGCTACAAGTGCTTGTGTATCTATACACAGAAAAAGTACAGTCAGAATACTGTATTGTAATCTTATGGGACCGCTGTCGTATATGCGGTCCGTGGTGGACGGAAACATCATTATGCTGTGCATGACTGGAGCTGTGTTCTTGCCGGAATTGGGAGATTGATTGCAGTGATAGCAAACATGGCATGTCCCCATTTTACCCTCCTCAAAAATCTCCCCAAAAGAAAGATGAGGAATTAGATAAACCACCATTTTGCAGCCTCTAATGAAAGAATTGGTTCAGGCTGATGTGGTCCCTTGGTTCATTGATTCTCTTTTTCTTTTTTTGCAACAGAGTCTCACTGTGTTGCCCAGGCTAGAGTGCCGTGGCGTCAGCCTAGCTCACAGCAACCTCAAACTCCTGGGCTCAAGCGATCCTCCTGCCTCAGCCTCCCGAGTAGCTGGGACTACAGGCATGCGCCACCACGCCCGGCTAATTTTTTCTATATATTTTTAGTTGTCCGATTAATTTCTTTCTATTTTTAGTAGAGACGGGGGTCTCGCTCTTGCTCAGGCTGGTTTCGAACTCCTGAGCTCAAACAATCCGCCCGCCTCATCTCCTAGAGAGCTAGCATTACAGGCATGAGCCACCGCGCCCGGCCCAAATCAAATTTTTAAATGATAACTTTGAGATATTCACATACCATACAATTCACCTTCCCAAAGTGTAAAGTTCAATGGCTTTTAGTATATTCATAGAGTTGGGCAGCCATCACTACTATGAAATATATAACTTCAGAACATTTTCATCATGCCCCAAAGAAATCCCAAACCTAACCTCTTATGAATCACTCCCCATTTCTTTTCTCCCTGGGGCTTGTCTGGGCTGGACTTTCCTTGGCCAAGATCTTTTGTCTGTTCAAGTGTGCATGGTTTTCTTTGGACAGGGTTCAGGAATACGAATAGCTATGATACTTGGCGTTTTCACAGTGAATGGTCTTTGAACATCTCTAGGGGTGCACGGGGAACTCATCACCTTCCAGCCACTGCCTCCCTGGGTCTCCCTCTCTAAAGCTGATGACAATAACTTTCCAGAATCAGTTCACACTTGCCGTGGCCATGGCATCGTGCCAAGCCTCTGACACACTGCACCTCGTCGATGCCTCACAACAAACCACTGGGCAGCTCATTTGGCAAATGGGGGAGGCCAAGGCACTGACCCTCGGTGACAGCTGGTGAGTAACATGGATATGGCTAAAGTCCGGAGTCCCAGCTCTTGCCCACTCAGGCCTCCCACCAGGTAAGTGTAGACCAGGCTCATTAGCTGGGCGATAGGGCATATCCTAGACCCTTGTTCCCCATCTGGATCAGGACTGAGGCCCCAGAACCCTGATACTTTCCCCCTTTCTTGGTGAGTGTTTAAGGACACCTGTCGCTTTAAGTGATCTCCACTCTCCTCTTCCCTGTATTTCTCCTTAATGCCGTAACACTTCTCACTGTCAGACAATATATTCTCCAATCTTAAAAATCATGTCTCTTGGCCAGGTGAGGTGGCTCACGCCTGTAATCCTAGCACTCCGGGAGGCCAAGGTGGGAAGATCACTTGAGATCGGAAGTTCGAGACCAGCTTGAGCAAGAGCGAGACCCCGTCTGTACTAAAAACAGAAAAAATTCGCCGGGTGTGGTGGTGAATGCCTGTAGTCCCAGCTACTCAGGAGGCTGAGGCAGGAGGATCGCTTGAGTCAGGAGTTGGAGGTTGCTGTGAGCTAGGCTGATGCCACAGCACTCTAGCCTGGGCAACAGAGCGAGACCCTGTCTCAAAAAAAAAAAAAAAGAATCATGTTTCTTTTCTGTTCCCCTGATGAGAACATCAGCTCCATGAGAGCAGGGATTTTTGTCTGTTTAGTTCATTGCTGTGTCTCCGGTACATACAAAACTGCCTGGCACAACAGTAGTTGCTCAATAAAGTTTGAGAAATGAAAAAAAATGAGTGATAAAATGCTTTCAATGGCTTCCCATCATACATAAAAGCCAGACCCCTCCTTGTGGTCCACATGGCCCTGAAGGATCTGTCCCCATTAACCCCCCCACCCTCATCTCCCTCTATGACCCCCCTCCGACCTCACTTTGCTCCAGCCACAGGGGACTGCCTGCTGGTCCTTGAATGAATCAAGCCTATTTCTGCCCCAGGACCTTTGCACTAGCTGTTCCCTCTGCCTTCCCCCATATACTCACGTGGCTTTCCCTCCCCTCTTTGGGTGGCTAGTCAAATGTCACCTCCTTGGGGAAAGCCTCCCTGATTCCCTTCCCTCTCCCATCACCCTGTTTTACTTCCTTCTCAGTAAGTACCTTTAAGTGAAATAATTATCCCTCCCCCTCCCATCAGAATATAAGCTCCACCATGGTAGGGATTTTTGACTTCTGTTCACTGCTGTGTCCCCAGTGCCCAGAACAGAGTTCGGCACACAGTAGGTGCTTAATAAAAGAGCTCAATGTGTCCCTGAGAGGCTGGGTCTTACCTGCATCATTGCTGCCCCCAGAGAGCCCCCACTCAGGGTGACACTCTGAGCCTTGGTTATTTTCAGGAGCTTAGGGAAACAGCCCTAAGGACACAAATAGCAAAGCGAGCAAGAGCTGGTTAGTCTTCATCAACTTGGGCCACCCAGATCCCTCTCCGACTCAGAGAGGAGGTGACAAAGCCATGGGGGCCTTGACTCTTTCTCGTTTGGCCCCCACACCCCATCATCTCCCCTGGCCTCCTCATTCCCCCCAACGAACACACCACTCCCTCTCTTCTGCCCATCTGTGCTGACATTCAAGTGTGGCAATTAAGCATGCCTGGACATCCTGGGTTATTACTAGCTGTGCAACCTTGGAGAAGTTGCCTTACCTCTCTGTGCCTCAGTTTTCCCATCTATAAATGCGACCAACTGGATCTGCCTCCCAGGATTTTTTTTTTTTTTGAGGATTACAAGAAAGAATCCACATGAAGTACATCTCAGTGGCCTGACACACTGCCAGCATTTGGTAACTGTTAGTTATTTCTGAGCACTCTTTACATATGAACAGAAGGGCTGACATGTATCCAATGGCTTCTCAGCCCTTTATATGCATTTTCTCACTCAGGTCTCACTACAACCCCATGAGGTGGGTCCTATTCTTTTCTCTATTTTACAGATGAGGAAACAGAAGCTCAAAGAGGTTAGGAGAGCAGAGAAAGTGGGTGGGCAGGGCAGCCCTCTGCAGGTGGTGGGACCTCTGCTCTCCTTCCTGCCATCACCGAGCTGCTCCCTCCTCTAGACCCCTGGCACATCTCGCTTGCGGAAGCTTGGGCCACCTTGAGCTTACTGTTGTCACTGTGCGGTGCTCTCCTTCACATAATAGGTATTTGTTAAGTGCCTACTGTATGCTGGGTACTGAATTTAGCACTAGCGACCCAGTAGTGTATAAAACAGATGAAATTCCTGCCCTCATGGGACCAATATTTGAGCAGGGGGAAAACAGGTGACAGCAAGCACAGTGACAACACTATCAGATGGCAGTAAATACTGGAAAGACAGAAGCAGCGTGTGAGGCTGGAATGTGGTGCTTGGAACGGGGGATCCTTTTACAAACGGGGAGTCAGGAACGGCCTCACCAAGGAAGTGACATCTGAGCACAGACTTGAAAGAGGCGAGGTAGGAAGACATTTGGGGGGAGAATGTTCCAGGCAGTGAGAACAGCCCGTGCAAAGGCCCTGAGGCAGGTGGGTGCCTGGTGATTTGAAGCAGGAGCGAGGAGGCCAGGGTGGCTGGAGCGGAGTGAGCAGGGAGGAGAGGAGGTGACAGGCAGGTTGTGCAGGGCCCGTGTCTGTTTCCGAGGCTTGGAGCCATTCGGTGAGAATGAATGAATCAATGAATGACTCATATTTCTTCCCTCAGAGAAGATCGCTGTGTTCATTCACTCATGGCAGGAGTTAAGGGGAACACCGGGTGGGGTTTAAAGCCAACTTCCACCACTCCCTGGCCATGGGAACCTCTACGTGCCTCAGTTTCCCCATTTGCAAACCGAGAGAAGAGTAGTCCCCACCTCAAGGGGTGCAACGTGACAAAACTCACAAAGTGAGTGCTTGGTCACGTGGCCAGCTGTCACCGTCACTAGGATGACTACTTTTCATCATTCTTGCCGCAGTTTAAGGCGTCTGGAGGGCAGGCAGTGCAGCCCGGGCAACAGACTCAGGCCAGCAGAGATTCAAGTCCCAACTGTGCCAAAGCCACGTGACCTCGAACCGGTCACATCACTTCTCTGAGCCTCAGTTTCCCCATCTGTGAAATGGGGAGGGTAACCTTAACCCCCCACGGCTACGTTGTCAACATGAGCTGAACACTCAATGACAGTTGGTTCTCTCTCCCCCGACCCCCATTGCTGGGGTCCCCACGAATAAGCAATTTTTATAAAAGCCACCAGCCCTCGGGGGTCTGGCGAGGAAACACACCACACGATCTGGAGTTACCTCCCGGTGGATGACTCCTGTGGACACGTTGCGCCCGTCACAGGCTGCAGTGCCGATGGATTTGCAGCAGACCCGGGGGTAGGCGTGGCTGGTCGTCATTTCAAAGGAAGAGCCAGAAAAATCTGTGTAATTATTCACCCCGCAGCACTTCAGCTGCAGAGAGGAGAAGAAACACTTCAAAAAACCCTCTTTCAAATAATAAAACGATCAAAACAATAGAAATCGTGGTCACCACAGTTACTGTCTAGAGCGCTCACAGTATTCCAGGGCTCCCATCTCACTCGGGGTAAAAGCTGAACTTCCTCTCTGTGGCCCACAAGGCCCTGCACAGTCTGCCCCTGTCACTTCCCTGCCCTCCCCTACCCCCAGCTGTCCGCTTTGTTCATTCAGCTCTAGCCACACTGGTTTCTTTGCTGTTCTTTAAACACACTTAGCAAGCTCCAGCCTCGGCCTCAGGGCCTTTGCTCATGCTGTTGCCTTCTTTGGAATGTTCTTCTTTCAAATTTCCTATTTTTTTTGAGACAGAGTCTCACTCTGTCACCCAGGTTAGAGCACAGTGGTGTCATCGTGGTTCACTGCAGCCTCAAACTCTTGGGCTCAAGGGATCCTCCAGCCTCAGCCTCCCAAGTAGCTGAGACTACAGGCGTGCATCACCATGCCAGGCTAATTTTTCTATTTTTTGTAGAATGGGGTCTTGCTATGTTGCCCAGGCTGGTCTTGACCTCCTGGGCTCAAGCAATCCTCCACCTTGGCCTCCCAAAGTGCTGGGACTACAGGCATGAGCCACTGCACCTCGCCTGGCTGACTTGTTTTTCTTCCTAGCACTTAGCACCATTGACATCAATGTTTATTTAGTGGCTTCTTGTCTCTCCATTCAAGTGTCACTACCAGAAGAGCAAGTATTTTTTGTGCGCTCTAATGTGGCCCGAGAGCCCCGACAGTGCTTGGCACATAGTAAGTGCTCAATAAATATTAGTTGAAGGGCTCTATGAATGAACGAGAGACATGCTCTGCCATCTCCAGCTTAAGAAGCCAAATCCATCATGCAGACAAGCATCATTCGCATCCCATGTCCCTTCCAAAGCCTGGCCATGACCCTGCAGCAGCGCCTGACCCACAACTCAGATGTGAAACGCTCCCAGAAGCAGACCATGGCATTTCCCTTCCAAAGCCTCCCTGGCTGTCCACAACCATCTGCCCTGAAAGCTAGGATGACACCTTGAGGCCAGTCTTGTTCCTTCAACGCCAAGGGTCAAGATGGGAGTCTCACCATCTCACACCCGTTAGAATGGCGATGAACAAAAACACCAGAAAATGACAAGTGTTGGCGAGGAGAAGGAGGAATTTGAGGCTTTGTGCATTGCTGGTGGGAGTGGAAAATGGTGCGGCCACCAGGGAAAGGGTCTAGCAGTGCCTTAAAATATTTCGCATAGAATTACCATATAACCCAGCAAATCCACTTCTGGGTATATACCCAAAAGAAGTGAAAGCAGGGACTCAGGCAGATATTGGCACCCCTGTGTTCATAGCAACGCTGTGCACAACAGCCAAAAGGAATAAGCATCATTCTTACTGATGTAAGAACGCAAGGACAGAATGTAGTGTGTCCACACGATGGAATATTATTCAGCCTTAAAAAGGAAGGAAGTCCTGGCCAAGCATGGTGGCTCGTTCCTGTAATCCCAGCACTTTGGGAGGCTGAGGTGGGAAGATCGCTTGAGGCTGGGATTTCGAGACCAGCCTGGACAACACAGCAAGACCCCATTTCTAAAAAAAAAAAAAAAATTTTTTTTTTAAATTAGCCAGACTTGCTGGTGCGCACCTATAGTCCCAGCTACTCGGGAGGCTGAGGCAGGAGGATCGCTTGAGCCCAGGAGTTGGAGGCTGCAGTGAGCTATGATCACACCACTGTACTCCAGCCTGGGCAACAGAGTGAGACCCTGTCTCTAAAATTTAAAAAAAAATTGTAAAGGTCAATTTCATGTTGTGTATATTTCCCCCCAATTTTTTTTTTTTTTTTGAAAGTGAGGCTCACCTTCTCCATGACAAAGTTCCATTCCGTGGAATAGTCGTCTGGTTCGTTGTATCCTCTGTAATTCTTCCTCAGGGTCACGAAGGTGTGCTCCAAGGTCACGTCGCGAACCTCACAGATGAGACACGAAGCGGTTAGCACCCAAATAGCAAGGGCGATCACTTGGCGGAGGTTCTTGGGGACAGAGCAGGGAGGTGGGGGCTCCCCTTCTGCTTCCTTCACTGTTCCCGCCCTTAGCTCACCGGGTCTGCCCTAGAGGAGGCCACGTTCCAGCTCCCGCAGCCCCCAAGCAATGGAAACGGGGAAGAACGCGGGTCTTGAGCCAAGCGCATCTGGTTGTACCCATGGCAAACGCATCTGAATCATGTGCTCTTTCCAACCGCCCGCAGCCTGTTCCGCCCCCGATCTGGCTCTAACTCCATGAAAAGAATCGAACATCACCTCCACCAACTCGATCTCTCTCTACGCATAAGGGGCAAACTCAATTTTCTATTTTTTAAATAAAGGTTTTCAAAAGTCTCCCCGCCCCCACCTCACCCCCTGCAAAGAGGTGATAGAGTCACGTGGTTCGAAATGAACAAAGCACAGCAGGTTAGACCATGAAAAGTCTCCCTCCCACCTGTTTCTCCCAGCCAAAAAGTTCCTCCCACTCCGTGCGGATGACTGTCACTGTTTCCTGTGTCCCCAAAGACATGTTCTATGTGTGTCAAAGCGAAGTATATTCGCAGTCTTTTTTCTCCTTGTTTTATACTGCGCTCATTGTCCCGCAGCTGGCTGTGGCAACAGGAGTAGCAGGTGCTGTTGGTGCCCTGCCTGTAGCCCCAGGGCCCTTACGAGTTCTGTGCCCACTGGCCACACTGACAGCAAGAGAGAGGTCCCCGGCCTCTGAGCCCGCGCGTGCCCCGGGAGCAGCCCTCAATCAGTGGCCGGTGGGCGTTTGCGGATCAATACCCCAGCTCCCTCCCCCCTAGAGTGGAACAACTTAGATGCGTGTTCTATGCTGTGTCCCAGATGTCCCCAACAGGACCGAGCTTGGTGGCTCATGGGGTCACCTTTATTGGGCTGCCTGCCCTTTTCTGCCCCACTTCTGTTCGGTTCGGATGTAACACTTCCTGGGGTCACCTTCCAGATCAACCCCGTGCCTTTGAATTCTTGCTTCAGGGTCAGAGTCTGGGGAGACGCTGATGAGATCAGCGCTCTAATCTGGAGAACATTCCATCTGGGGCCCAGAGAGCCGCCCCCTTCCCTGTGTCCGGGTGTACAGGACTCCGTTGTGCGGGTGTGTCACAACTCACTTAAACACGCGCACTAAGCTGTTTGCGATCTTTTGCACACCCCGGCGAGAATCCATTCTGCACGACAGCAAGTCAACCTTTGGATAATTCCCAGGCATGGGACTGCCAGGCCAAAGCGCTCAAGCTTTTGTCGTTTGGGTGGATTTTGCTAAATAGCCCCTCTAGGCTGCATATGCTTCAAAAAAAGCGTGCAACGTGCGCACTTTTCCGATCACCTCCGCTTCTCCCCGCCAGAAAGGCAGGAGACACGGCCCTCAACGAAGCCCACAGGGTTTTTGAGGCCTTAGAGGGAAGTCGGAGGTTTTCAGCTTTTCACTTCACCTCTGGTGGCACGTGGCATCTTGGGACCTGTGGGTCCCTCCATCACCGGACCCCCTACAAGTGAGCATGGAGCGCGGGTGCCTCCAGAGGGGAGGGGTGACTCCTAGTGACTCTGTTTCTTTCTAATGCCAAGTGGGGGAAACAGCGTACTTACAATCGGGAAGAACAGAAGGACCACTGTGGCGGATGCGAGTTCCAGAATGAGGATGACAACCATGACGAGGAAGCACTGGAAGGCACAGAGGGGGACAGCGGGGGATGGGAGCCTGCTCAGCCGCCTCCCTGCCTCGCACCGTGGGGGGGGGCAAGGGGGTGTGCCTGTCCCTCCGCCCCCTGCCCCAGGCCTCCCTGGGGCCTCTCCAGTTTGAAAGAAACTCACGCCTGGGGTTGGAAGGTGGGGGGCTGTTGGTTTCTATTTCTCCCAAGAGGCGCTTTCCTGCACTTCGGGAACTCAAGAGTGCTTTGAGGACCTGCAGGCTGGGCCCCCATTTCTGGCAGCCTGAGAGGGGACCTCGAGGGACTAAGAGAGCAGGGGCTGGTGGAGACGCAGGAGGGGCGATGGGGAGGACAGCAAGGACGACGAGCCTCAGACAGGGATTGAACGGGAGATGCCGGCAGCTGGTGGGTGGGTGCGGGGGGGGGGCACGTAACGTTCCCTGGCTTATTTTTCGAATGCAATTCACATGCATGGGGCAGAGCCATGGGGAATTGGCCAGCAGAGGGGAGGTGTTGCAGCGACACATCGTGGAGAAGCAGCTTCACTCTGTGGGCCTCAGTTTCCCCATCTGTATAATGTGCACGTGGGACCAGCTAATTCAGGCTTTGAGTCGCTAGACTGGCCAGTGCCTGGGCTTAGCTGGCATTGACAAGGAGAAACAGGAAAGCGCAGTGGATGCACGCCCGGGCTCCCCGCAGGGCATACGTGGGTGCAGGGTTTAGCAGTCGTGAGGAACCCAAACTGATGGTTCATGTGACAGACGGTGAGGATGAATGTCTCCCTGTCTCTGGGTGACTGAGGCGTCCAGAGATCAGACATTCAGGCGTCAGCAAGTCCTATGGGCTCCATCTGCAGGATCTACCCTCTGAATCTGTGTCCACTTCTCATGCTGGGACATCACCGGCCCAGCTGGGTCCGGTCCCCTCGTTCCGCACACGCTGTTCCCCTCATGGCCACCAGAGGGCGCATGTGAGCAGCAGAGTCAGGGCACGTCCCTCCTCTGCTCACAACTCTCTGGGGCTCCCAATACTACCAAAAAGACTTTGCTTGGCTCATTCCTGTAATCCCAGCACTCTGGGAGGCCGAGGCAGGAGGATTGCTTGAGCCCAGGAGTTCGAAATCAGCCTGAGCAGACAGAGTGAGACTCTGTCTCCACAAAAAATAGAAAAATTAGCCAGACTTGGTGGCACTGAGCCTGTAGTCCCAGCTACTGGGGAGGCTGAGGCAGGAGGATCGCTTGAGACCAGGACTTTGAGGTTGCTGTGAGCTAGGGTGATGCCACGGCGCTCCACCCTGGGCAAGAGAGCAACAGAGCAAGACTCTGTCTCAAAAAACAAGGCTTTGCTTTCCTGAGTGAAGTCTCTCGGGGGCTTTAGAGGAACAGACACTGCGGGCAAAGCCAATGGAATTTGTGGCTGGATTGGGCGTGGTGTGCGAGAGAGGATTCTTGGATTCCTCCAAATTAAATGACAGGGAGATGAAATACAGCCTGCAGCAGGTTGAAGCTAGAATGGAGTATTGCAGGTGGGCGTGTTCAATGAGTCTTTGTTGAATGAAGTAATTAAGAAAGAAAACAAGAGACGATGGAACTTCCAGGGGGAGAAGGATGGGGAAGGGGTGACTTTAACAATCGGGATACCCATGTTCTGGAAAATGACTAGAGTAAGGGTCTCCCTGAAACCCCCAAACTGAAACAGCCAGAGTTTTGCAGCAACACAGTGAGGGAAGGAAGACAAGATCCTGGAGCCAGATTAAACCTGGGGTGGGAGGGTCCACTTAAGCAAGATTCTAAGGGGCCAGTCTAACAGAGATGGAGCTGGGAGTCAGGAAGATGACAGCTGGGCTTTGGGGGAGATGTTACCAAGGCTGCATATGACAATGAGTGAGACACATGAACTCTGTGGCATGCCATTGCATGATTGTGCTTGACATATTCATACGCCATGTGCTTGAACATGTATGGCAATGACAACAGTGTTGTGTCAGCAAAGGACAGACCAGACACATGGGACAATGGACCAGAACAGTGCACGCGGGACAGACCAAAGCATAGTGGAAATTTAGTGTGACAAAGGAAAACTGAATGGGTCCCTCAATAAATACAACAGTATGGCACCCAATTGGGAAAAAAAACAAATCAAATCAGACCCCTACCTCACACCACACACACAGTTAGATCCTAACAAATGCTAAAGAGCTAAAAGCAAGAAAGCAAGATTTAAAATCACGGGATACAAACCTACAAGAATATAATTTATGACCTTGTGGGTGGGAGGGGTTCTAAAAAAGATACATCATAAAGGAAAAGATGGATACATCTGTTTCCATCACACAAAACACCCTAAACACAGTTAAAATAGGGGACACCAAGCAATGTTGTTTGCAACACGTGCAATGAAGGATTTGTCCGTGGCGGGGGGCAGTTTTGGGGTCTGTGTGCAGATCCAACTTACAAACAAGAGAATGCCTCTGCTTTCTTTGGTCATCCCATACCACCCGGCACAGCTCAGCAGAATCATGGCGCACCCCAGGACCAAGCACAGGCAGCCCACGTGAAGCAGGTATGCAGAGGACAATCCGAGGACCCTGGTCAGAGTGGCCCCTCCACACTTGGCATTGATGCCCAGGCCAATGAGGACAATGCCAGACACCTTTAGAACAGAAATCAGAAAATTTAAAAGAAAAAAGTATCTGTTAGGCCAGGCGCGGTGCCTCATGCCTGTAATCCTAGCTCTCTGGGAGGCCAAGACGGGTGGATTGTTGGAGCTCAAGAGTTCGAAAACAGCCTGAGCAAGAGTGAGACCCCATCTCTACTAAAATTAGAAAGAAATTAATTGGACAACTAAAAATATATAGAAAAAATTAGCCAGGCATGGTGGCGCATGCCTGTAGTCCCAGCTACTCGGGAGGCTGAGGCAGGAGGATCACTTGAGCCCAGGAGTTAGAGGTTGCTCTGAGCTAGGATGACGCCACGGCACTCTAGCCTGGGCAACACAGTGAGACTCTGTCTCAAAAAAAAATAATAATAAATAAATAAATTAAATTAAATAAATAAAATGGTGTTGCAGGACAGGGATTGGCAAATTGTTTTTTCTGAAAAACTCCACATACTGGGGCCTTTGGGGGTCATAAGGCATCTGTAGAAACTACTCCATCCTGCTGGTGTAGCTCGAAAACAGTTGTACACCACCTGCAAAGAAATGGGCTTGGCTGTGTTCCAATCACACTGTGCTTATAACTCAGGCAAGGCTGCAGTTTGCTGACACCTCTTGTAGGAGAATGTTTACTCCATAACAGAAAGATGTTTTTAATGCCTCAACACATTTTTTTAAAAAGTCGATTGTGAAGCAAAAGCGTTTGTTCTGCTTTTTTTTTTTTTTGAGTCGAAGACATGAAGTCTTTGATGTTCTGCTGTTTTTTAAAAGATATATGGATAGTATGGTGATAGGTGGACCCAAAAAAGAGAAAGAAATTGAATGTATATTAATATTCAAAAAAAATTTTAAAAGATACATAGAAAAGTCTGGAAGGATATAAGGATGATGATGATGGCAGTGATGACGATATTTATTGAGCAAGTACCTCGTGACAGGTCCAAGCCCTTTAAATGCACTGTCTCATTGAATTCCATCAAAATGTTACAATACAGGCGATGAGACAAGGGTGATGTTCAATTTCATTCTCTCCCCCGACAGCTTTTCCTTACTCTGTGCTACAATGAAGACAATTACTTCTTTAACAATGTACATTGCAGGCTACTTTTAGAGTAAGAAAAAAGCGTTCTGAAAAATTTAAAAGATCAAGAGAAGAACCACTCCCTCCTGTGGCCCCCAAACAACTTGGTTTCCTGCAGGATTTGACTTCGAGCCAAGATCTTCCATCACCCACCCGGGGTCCCCCAGATCACACTCATCTGTGCTCGATTTCCCCGCCTCTGGGCCCGTCAGAGTCTACACCCGTTCCTTGTCTGTCTGCCCTACATCCCTCCGGGTTCCCTGAGGACCACAGATCTGAATGCCAATTTGGATCAACTTATTTCTGTCTTTCAGGGAGCCATCCGTGGAGGAGGGGGCGGCAACATCCCGGGCCCGGGTTGTGACATACTTACAGCCAGGAAGCTGTTGAATAAAGATAACAGCTTCTTCAAGGAAGAATACGGGGTGTGCATGTCAGCCACGTTGGCCATACTGGGGCGCCCCGGACACTTAAGTCAGCATCTTCCTAAACCTCTGGGCTACTGTCCCCCAAGATGAGAGGGGGCTGGGGGAGAGACACCGAAGCTGACCTGCTCTGCCCCTCTCTGTCCTGGCTGCCTGGCCATTGCCCGGGGCTGCCCCGCCTCAGTCATAAGCCTTTATCACGTCACAATCGGATGCTGGAGCAGGGCTCACGGTGCCAGGGAAGCAGATGCCCCGAACTGTCCCCGGTTAGTTCCTCGTCCTCCAAACAGGCCACACCAGGGAGGGAGAAAAGGCATGATGTGCTGCCCTGGGAACCCCCAGATGCCACCAGGGCCCTGCAGGCATAGTGTGGGCATCGTGCTCACTACGTAGTTGATATCCCCAGGTAGACCGGGGACTCCAAGAGGGCAGAGACCTGGGTTGTCCTATTAACAGCTGTGTTCCCAAAGCCCGGTACAGTATGGACTTAAGAAGCCATTGTGGAATGAATGAATCAGGAGGTGACATGATGCAGGAATCCAGCTACAAGCCACTGGGGCCCCCCAAGCCCCAGGCTACACTTGGCCTATCCCTCTCACAGGGCTCAGAGAGGGCAAGGGACTGCCTAAGGCCACACAGGAAGCAGGGCCAAGGCTAGGATTTGAAGCTCCAAGACTGATAGGAGGGCAGGAATGTGTGAGGTGGAGAGCCCATCCTCTCTCCATCTGAGGCCTTCCCAGCTGGATTGTCCCTGAGCTGTGTGCCGTCAGTCATGGGGCTTTTCTTGATCATGGCGGATGTAGTGGGCATTTCAGGATAGAACACCTGCACATGGGCACTGAAGCCCTCCAGACCCCAATCCTGCAGCCCCTAGCCCACCTTGCCCCCTGCCTCCCTACTCTCACCTGGTCCAGGGCCACGCTACCCCAGCTCTGTCCAGCCCTGGGCTCTGGGGCGTGTCTGCGTCCAGATCCTGGATGGCTTGTTGGGGGAGGCTCAAATGGGAGAAAACAGCTTACACGTTAACTCATTTAATGAAGGTTTGTCAAATCACCCGCTTATTGGAACATGTAGAACTAAGCAAGATCTTCAGGGAGGAGTGGCTGTCTCCTGCCTAGACCACAGGCCCCGTTCACAGCCAGGAGTGTGTCCTTCCACGCCTCTCTCTAAAAGGTCTTTTGAAATAAGGAGCCTCAATGGCCGGGCAGGGTGGCTCACACCTGTAGTCCCAGCCACTTGGGAGGCTGAGGCAGGAGGGTCGCTTGAGCCCAGGAGTTGGAGGGTGCAGGGTGCTATGATTGTACCACTGAACTCCAGCCTGGGCGACAGAGCGAGACCCTGTCTTTAAAAAAAAAGTAAGAAACGAAATACGGAGCCTCGGAGCCAGGGGCTGAAAGCCTGACAACGGGGGGCTCAAAGGAGGGCGAGGAAATAGGAGTGCAAGAGAGCATGGGGAACGTGGGGGGAACGTAGGGTGCAAAGAGGGGCTGGGGAATGTGGACGCAAGAGAAGGCAGAGGAACTGGGGGTGCGAAGGAGGGTAGAGATGGAAACCCAGGTACAAATGAGCACGGAATACAGGCGTGAAGGAGGGCGGGGAAATGGGGTGGCAGATACAAACGGGCATGGTGGGAAGAGAGGGCAGGGTGGACCGGCGAGAAGCCCCAGGAGGAAATTGGCCTGAGGAGAGCCCCGCCCCTCGGCCGCCCCGCCCCTCGGCCGCCCCGCCCGGCTTAAATACAAAGCCTCCGCTACAGCCTCGCGCGCCTCCTGGCGGTGGTCAGTGGAAGCGCGGCCCTGTGTGCCAAGGTCTGAGAGGGGCCCAGCTACAGGTTTACCTGGTTGATTGTTCATGTAAAATTTGCAGCAAAGGGCCAGGCACGGTGGCTCATGTCTGTAATCTCAGCACTTTGAGTGACTGAGAAGGGAAGATCACTTGAGCCTAGGAGCTCAAGGCCAGCCTGGGTAACATAGCGAGACTTTGTCTCTTTAAAAAAAAGTTACAGCAAAGATAAATTTGTGCATTTAGGGCTCACAAAACCTGGATTCACCTCTAACAAGGGGGCATTTATAGTTTAATGCATTTTAGTAACAAACACTGGGGAATGGGGTGACAAATCAGAATCCACCATCCAACAAAAAAATATCCGGGGCACCAAAAAAGGTACCTGTCCTTGCTGAGGACGGTCCACACCCGTGGTATGAATCACTCAATCTGGGATTTCCCAGGCCATCATGGACCTCAGCCTTCATGGGGATGGGCACGGAAGTGTCACCAGGTTGCAGCATCAGGGGCTGAAATTATTGATGAGATAGTAAAGGATCATGATGGTAATCATTGTTATCAAATGAAATGGAAGCAAACAGCATTTCCACCATTAGGGATTTTTTTGTTTGGCTAGATTATTTTTAAAATTCCATTTGTTTCCCCAGGTTCACATTCAGACTTGTTGACCCTTCATTCCCTGTGTGCTGAGGAGCTGTGGGTTGAGAGTCATTGAGGGGTGACAGGGAGGTACTGTCCAGTAGGGACACACACAGCTTTCCCAGGTTCTCTTTGTTACTACTTAAAGATCTGGAATTTCCGCCCCTTCGGCCCAGCAGTGTCTTAGATTTTGGAAAGGAGGGGAGTGAAATTAAGGAGCAAGAAGACTTTGTTGATGATATTCAAAATACCTAGCCACAAGGTATGCCAAGGCAGACAAACAGAACAGAGGGTGTCAGGGGTGTTGGCCCTGTAGGGTTCAGAGGTGGGAGTTGCTGATGAAGGCTCAGGCAGGAGCAAGGGGCCACCAGTCCAGGGCGTGCAGGTGACATTTGAGGGGGCATCTGCTCTTGTTAACATGTGGGTCTCAGGCTATGATTTCTTCTCTTCACTGGGCAGCTGATCCCAGAACAGCCAAGACTGTTTCCACCTCCCATTCCTCAAGGCTCTCGGTTAAACACACTAAAAAGCTCATAAATAGCTTTCGGAGATTTTGCACCTCTGATATCTCAGGAGGGACCTGCAACAAGTACAAATGGGACTTTTTAAAGCTTGGGGGAGTGGAGCATTTCTTCTTCTAGAAAATTCCACTACAGATTTATCCAAACACGTACAGGCCAGGAGTTGGCAAACTTTTCCTGGAAAGCACTAGAGGACTTTGCAGACCATATCACTGCTCTTGGCACTCTGCTATTGTAGCCACAGAAAATATGTAAATGGACAATATGTAGATATATGTAAAGGAACAGAAGTAGGTGTGCGGCAATAAAATGTTATTTACAAAATGTTTTTGTGCAGGACGTAGTTTTGCCTACAACTGCTTTTTTTTTTTTTTTTTTTTGAGGGGAAGGAAAGAGGAGTTTATTAATTCTCTGGCAAATGAGGAAGTTGGCAGACTCCCATCTCAAAGTACCAACATTCTGCTTCTGAGCAGAAGTACACAGCTTTTAAAGGCTCTGATTCATTTCATCTTCAGCTAAGACAATCTTGCGACCCACGCCCACACCCATCCCATCTTCAGCTGAGACAATCTCAACACCTGCTCTTAAGCCTAGTTTGAGTTGGTGAATGATTGGAAACAACCTAAATGCCCTTCAAAAGGAACTAGTTAGGTAGGTACGAGATTATTCCAACCAGCTGAGAAAATGAATGTGGCACTCTTAACGAAAAGCATCGATAACACCAAGACCAGCAGCAGCGGCTCACACCTGTAATCCTAGCATTCTGGGAGGCTGAGGTGGGAGGATCACTTGAGGTCAGGAGTTTGAGATCAGCCTGAGCAAGAGCGAGAACTCCGTTTCTACTAAAAAATAGAAAGAAATTAGCCAGGCAACTAAAAATAGAAAAAATTAACTGGACTTGGTGGCTCACACCTGTAGTCCCAACTAGTTGGGAGGCTGAGGCAGGAGGATCACTTGAGCTGAGGAGTTTGAAGTTGCTGTGAGCTAGGCTGATGCCACAGCACTCAGCCCGGGCAACAGAGCAAGACTCTGTCTCAATAAATAAATAACTTTTTTAAAAAGGACACCAATCGTATTGGATTAAGGCCACTCCCCACTGACCTCATTTAACCTTAGTTAAGTCTTTAAAGACCCTTGTCTCCAAATACAGCCACATTCTAAGGTAGTGGGGGTTAGAACTTCAGCATATGAGTTGGGGGAGGAGAAACAAAACTCAGCCTATATCAACCAGTCGTAAAATGACACGTACTGTAAGATCCCACTTATATGAGGTCCCTAAAGTCATCAGATTTATAGAGACAGGAAGTGGAGTGGTCAGTGGCAGGGGCCAGGGAGGGGGAGATGCGGAGTGAACGTTCCACGGGGACAGATGTGCAAGCTGCAAAACTGCTGGAGACGGATGTTTGCTGGTGGCTGCACAACAATGTGAATGTACTTAATGCCCCTGAACTGCACCCTTTAAATGGTGAAAATTCCGTTACGTGTATTTTGCCACCATAAAAATAAATAAATAAATACTGTAAAAGCAGCAGACGACCTCCTGGTGGGAAAACAGGGAAACGACCCAAGTCAGCACCTGCTTCTGTTCCTGCAACTGCTGCTTAATTCCATCTCCAGCTCTGACTGCCTTGGGCATTGTAGCGGGTTGAATTGTGTTCCCCCCAAATCCATGTGCACGAGGGGCTTCAGACTGTGTGACCTTATCTGGAAATCGGGTCTTTGCAGATGTCGTTAGTCAACGATCTCCAGATCAAAACATGTGGGCAGGTCCTAAATCCAATATCTGGTGTCTATAAGAGACAGGAGAGGGGTGTTTGGATACAGAGGGCAGAAGGCCGTGAGATGACGGAAGAGGCAGCAATTGGAGTGATGCGGCCACAAGCCAAGGACACCAGGAGCTCCCCGAAGCTGGAAGAGTCAAGGAAAGATCCTCCCCTACACACTTCAGGGGTAGCACGGGCCTGATGACACCCTGACTTCAGAATTCTGGCCTCCAGAAGAATAAATTCCTGTTGTGTGAAGCCACTGAGCTTGTGTGATTTTTCCTGGAAGCCTGAGAAAACCCACACAGACAGGGAACA